AATGCAATTTTATCGGTAACTCCTATACGGCACACCATCATCATCACCACTACCGCTAACTACCTGTCCATAAGCATAGATATAAAGTTGCTGACACTGGGAGCTGACACGAAACCTCTTTCCCCTCACAAACAACTGCTACTAAAAACGATATAAAAATTTATTATTAAATCTAAAATCAATTCTCCATTTAATGGATTTCCAGTTGAAAAGTCTTTTCACTCGCTGTTACTAACAGTATGTATACATATTTTGAGAGCTAATTATCATTATATTTATTATTATGAATATGTTATTTGGGTTTCTCTGAATAGCATACACAACAGTGTATTGAATGGCTTTTTCCAACTATAATAATAACATAATTTGTTTTGAAATACGAGCGAAAATTGTGTTGAATTTTATTTTTTCTATTCGACAAATACTTCTGATTCACAACACATTCAACACATTGTTATACAAATGGAGTGTAGAAAAAGAGATCATATTTCAGATTATAGTTAGCATTATTGGCTAAACAATAATTAGATTACACACTGAATATGAGGTTATGATATGTGTGTCTGAATATGATATCTAAATGTAATGTAATGTTATATTTCAAACACTTGTGGGCAATAAATATTTGATATTCTCATAGACTTCTCGCTAAAAGCAATTGAATATCTCTCTCTAAATAAGGCAAATATTTTTCGTCAAGTGTTTTCCGATTCTCAAAATCATTACTATTATTCATAACATTTAATATAATATAAATGTAATAAAATTTTTTATCTACCCATACACCTAATATGATTGAGACTCTTATCATTGAATTTTATTTATCATAGATTCTGTGGTGTTTAAACCATTTTGAGAGCAAACAAATAACACAAATAAAAGTTATTCAACGAAAACTATGCGATTATTATTAACAGTATTATTATTATACGAAGTTTTGATAAGAGGCTATGATTTTAGTGAAGTATTTCTCCAAAGTATAGCAAAAATTTATTGCATATTATACAGTAAAATACGGTTTTAAAACATGCATTTTATCATGCATATTACCTACAGGTAAATACAGATATTTATTCACAGATTACTCATACAAAAGGATTGCTTATAATTAACGGAAATTGCGGTTCCGTTTAGTATTATATCATATGAGAGACAAAACTCTTATCTATGGAAAGATTTTCGCAAAACTAGTATTCATTATAATGTCTTATCCTAACATTTTTCTCTCTCATAAATTTTCAGATTATAATTAAAGTGTAATTCAAATGCAATTTAAATATTTTGCAAAAATTGGTGTCTAAAGAAAGAAAAGAAAAAAATCTTTTTGTCTGTAATTAAAGGCTTTAATTCAAAACTACGACAAAAATATTTTCATGAATCAGTTCACACATGAAATATAATATACCATAGAGTTAATTTCGTAATTAATTAAACACATGGTAGTAATAGGATAATAGAGTTATTATCGTGATAATAGCGATAATCATCTATTGATTTGCTGTCAAAACTAATAAATAAAATATTGAATTATTAGTGAACGACAGAAACAACAACTGGTTTTTGTTAAAACACCTAATATTGAGATCAATTCAATAGATATAACGGCAAACAAATATAGCTAATCATCAGTGGTATCATCGATACGTTAGGAAATCATAGGAAATCCTAATAAAAAAGTGTACAAAACACTATGAAAAACAGACAAAAAAAAGTTGAATAAATTTTGTTAACAAAACTCTAACCCCAAACAAAAAAGTTATCACAAAAACAGCAAAACTATATTACAATTTAGATAACAAATCCATAGATTATAATAAAAATTAGTTTTGCGGCAAAACTATTAATTAAATCCCAAATAAAATCAAAATACAAGTCAAATAAAAATTAAAATTCAATTTAAATAATATTTTTCATATTAAAAAACTAAACCAAATAAGCGATAAATATTCAAACACCACATCCCATGAGCTGAATATTCAATGCACTTCTCAATCGTATCAATCAAACGGCAAAAAACAGATTATTTGACGTCAAAAAACAAACAACAAAAACATCTTAAGATTTTAAACGGACTTAAAAATCATAAATTTAACAAACTTTTCAAGAAAATAATGGCACAGGTATTCAACGGCTTATACCATTAGGTGGGGATCAGAGGTATAACTGAAACAACAAACTATTTGACACAAGACTTTGAGGCATACTTTGGCGATCAGTGTCCCCTCGACTGTCACACCAATTGAATGATTGAAATGAATGGTAACTCCACTCTCGATGACTAATTCGGACTTCGAGTCCACGTAGATATCCCGGAATATATGGTACGGACTGTCCCTTAATGTCAATACTAGTCTGTGACCACTGATGGGACCGCCGCTGAAGGCATTACTCCTATTATTATATATAGTATTGAAGTTATTATTAGCGATCGTTTGCTGTCCACTAACTCCTCGTAGAAAATAGTTATCACTGAATAGTATAATCACTAATAAATGCAATAAAAAGTATTTAAATTTCATTAAATTAAACGTCTTTTTGTTCACATCGTTGGCCGAGTGGTCTGATTGTAAACCACGAGTCAATTGATTGCCAAATATTTTCAACATTTTTGTGGCCGAAAATATTTCTCACATTATATTCGCCGATAATAATTGGATTTATTACTTATAAATCACAACTTATAACACAAAACATGTGTAAATAAAATAATAATTAATAAAAAACAATTCAAAACTTGTATAAATATCTCCTAAAAAAGTATCATGTATAAAAAATAATAAGTTTCACTTTTATATATATACGGTACACTAGTGTGTGGTTTTAAATATGATTTTCATTATCACTGGGCATAGGTGTAGCGATTATGTATGAACTAGTATTTTAAACAAAAAAATCTAAATCTAAATACAATATTAAGTATAAAAACATTTAATTCACAATTAATATGAAACACATGACAAACGTATTGAGCAGTGAATGGGCCGTTGAGTTGAGTCACATTTGGGAGCAAAAACTCATCACTCGATTTGAATTGTTTTGTATGAGAAACACAATGTTATGTAATATTTTCGTTGAACCCATACATACCATACCGATAGCCGTTCACTCAATACACTGTTCAGTGAGTTTACGGATAGGCTATGGGTTTGTTGTATTAAGGCTTACAGTTTGCACACAACAACGCCCAGTGCTTTCCATTCAACTCCAATGCTATACTCTCTTCAATGTATATTTGGAGAGACACTTCTCCCTCTCTCTCTCCCTCATACTCTCTCTCGCTCATGTCTGTACCTCCAGTTCCCCTCCACTCTCACGGCACAGGTATGTTGAGAGTGCACTGTTCAGAGCGCTAGCTATGTGTGTGTGAATACACCGTTGGCATAGCTTTTCCCCAAAACACATACCTATCCCATAGAGAGAAATGGATTCCTTTCCCAACCGATTAGAGTTTTTGTCGAAACAACTGTTGTATAACTAGTCGACTCGACTACCTGGCCATACCTGTGCCGTCACCATAGTTACCCCATATAATAAACACCAGTGCGAAAAACTTTTTCTTTTCTCTACATTTTTAATATGCCTTAACGTTATATACAGACACTGAATGAGAAAACCAGTCTTTGTTTGTTTGCTAAGAGATTTTCATTTCATATAACAAAACACTCGCATTTAATATAATTTTTTAATTTATATTAAAATCACTTCCAAATCAATTAAGTTGTGTATACAATATATGGCATTTATTATCTCATTCATTCAAATTCATGAGTTTTGTTCATAACTTTTGTTGCACTCAATTAAATCACATGCAATACAATAGGGCTTAAGGGGGTGTTTGATGTTTTTTCGTGGAAAACATATGGACTTATTATTTCACATCCAATTTATGTCATTAACAGTAACCCTAATATCGATTTGTGTTTTAAAGGAAAATTATAAATAAAATCTTTGTTTTGTTTTTTAACATTTAAAAGCAGGTTCAGAGAAGTTGTTCTCAATTGTATGCAGTAATCTATAATCACAACCAATTAAATCCCATATTAATACTAAAATCAAAAATATGATTTTATAATTAACTTTTTATTGCAATCGTAAATATATTATATTACCCGTGTATTCATGTATTCATGCAATAATAATGCAATTTCTTGTCTTAACGAATAAATTGAACACATTTTTTGGCTGAGAATTTAATTAATGTTTTTTGTTTCTTAAGGAAGTTTTTTGTAGTGATTTCCTAATGAAAACCAATTCACTGTATATATCTCTCTCACTCTATTCGCTATCCATTCAATTCTGGCGTAAGAATAATAATAAGATATTATTCATACATATAATGTGAATACAGTACGAAAAAAATCAAATCATAAAAAACTCTTTTTAGGTACAGCTATACCAGTCCATGGGATATACAGTCTTTTGTATTGCGTTATATTGTTATGTAATACATATTAAGCTTCTCCGACGAGTTTCGGTAGAAATTATAAGTTTGTCCTTCAAGTAGACAATAGGCTATAGCGTTAAGTGAACCCAATATCAAAAGCCATCAAAACTTTTTTGTCTGATTCTCTATCTCTCTCATAGAGAAGTCATTATTCCTTTTCATACGGTTTTCATAGACAAGTCATTTCCGTCACACACTTTTTGCCAACACTTGTTGTTAATGGCTATCAAAATATAGTCGCGATTTGAACATCAATTTTTAGTATTTTTTAAATCACAAATCGTTGTTATATTTTTTATTTTTACTATTATGTAAGTTAAATAAAACGCCCGCATACCGGTGCCCTCGAATATATCAAAATTACATTAACTCTAAATGTGAATTAATTTTATTATTATATTATTTTATACATTATCATTATGCTATTATAATGTAATTCATGCGAATAATTATTGAATAATCCATAAATTTATCAAAAAATGCTTTTTTAATGACTAATGCCATACAAAATATGGTTTTACAATAGGTGTATAACTTATACGGGTGTTTTATGTGTTCACTGGACAGTAAACCCGTATTTTTGGAAATCTTTGAGCACTACATTGAACACCACATTCACGTAACCATTAGACGAGACTCGGATGACTTCCCGGCCCTCACTCTGGGCGACCACTTTGGGATCAATGAATTCCGGTTTGCGACCACTGAACCAACTCGTCCACCGTTGGATCAGCGATGAGGACTGCGGCACAAACATCGGTACCCTTTTCTTATGCATTCCCGGAACTGGAGGTATATGTGTGGAACCGTATCCTCTCACCACATCGTTGCCAAAAAAGTCAAATCCATAGACACTCACTGAATATATGACAGCAAAAAAGTTTTATACAATTTCCAAATATTATTCTTTAATAAAAATTATAAGTGAGTGAATGTGTGTGTGTGTGTGTGTGTGTGCGTGAGAGAGAGAGAGAGAGTGAGAGAGAGAGAGAGAGAGAGAGAGACTTATTATCTATTTGTGGTTCAATACATACAAACCAATTGAGGCCAACCGAAAGGATTGCTTGACTTGAATGCTATGTCTAGAGGGAAGTTCCAGACGAAGAGCTGATTGTCTTCACTGATTCTCGTGATCTGTGAGACACCATCTTCAAGACCAGAGGCCACGGACCAGTCGTTGCCATATTTATAGCAATACTTACAGTAGATGTTATCAAAGCCCAGGAATTGTGCGCTTTCTATCTGTCCGCTGACACTCACGCAGAATACGGAACTACTGACCACCGATTCTGCAGACATTGGTGTTAACCACAAACTTTTACCACAAGATAATCAGCGAATTAATTGAATTTGTTTTCATTTTTATCCAAATATATCCAAAATATCATTTAATGAATCAGTTTTTGTTATTTAAATCCCATTTCTATGGCTACGAGGCGTGAATGCAATGTGGTTTCCAAACGCTATCCAATGTTATGCTTGAGTTTCTCATTTGAAAAGTGGACTCTATTTACACGAATTTATTTATTCCCAAAATTTTTTTGATTTTATTTTGTGTGCGAAAAGCATTTCTAATTTAATAACTCTTTTATTTGAGTGAAAAGTATACATTTTCCACACAAATTCACTTATCGATCATTTTCTATCTCATACTATCTGTCAGTGGATCTAACGCTGAGATCATTAGCTTTAGACATAAGAATTGGTCCATTGGTTACGGTTTTATGACTTAAACTTTAAGTGAAGTCTCAGAGAAAATTACCGACACTTTTGATATAAGAAAATCAATTCAATTGGAATCCAATTTGGGAACTACACTATAATCTACACCACCAGACAAGTCATATCAATTTTTACACTAAAAAGTAAATGGCATTTATCTGAAACTCAATTTTTATTTGCATTATACTCCGCACAACTCATAACCATTTGTCGCTCAACCGATTCCCTTTCCATACCATTCCCTTTGGTCTCTGAACTCCTGAACCCACCTAACCATCAGGTGATCGTCCGCTTTGTATCTGATCGACAAAAAACAAGTTTATTAAAACATTATTCACTTCTTATACACAGACTATATGAGAGTTT